TATGTCATAATCCCACACCGGAAAGTTTCTCTCAGGAATGTGAGAGATTCAGAGAGAATGACACAAAAAGCAAAGCTAGCTCTTCAACAGGCTAAATGGTAAACAAAGCAAGGGAAAAAGGAAAGGGAAAAAGCTGCTGGAGTCATGGGGTCTATGCAGAATTGCACAAATAAGACTGAACACAGAATGAGGTAGCAACTATTCAGATAAATTGACATTTGAAATCATCATAGCATCTAGTAGGCAAATCTTTGGTTTTGGTTATATTTTGTGACATTCTGGTTTGCTTAACAAAGGTACTGCCCTAGTATGGGATTCTGAAAAATCTCAAGTGAGAACGACAGTTCCTCAGATATCATTTCTCATTATCTGGCACTGCCACTTGGAAAATAGCACTCTTCTGTGCCACCTATTGACATATCTAGTTACAGAAGAGGCTTTATCAAAAGTGGCTTTGCTAACAGATGGACATCTGAATTGCTCAGTCAATGGCAAGAATGCTAGATGACTTCTTTGTTCCGATATGAGATTCTCACCTATGCTTCAAACTCTGAAGCAGCATATATTTTAAGAAGGAAAGATACTAGGCCTGTGCGGTTTCGTTCGTTAATTTCGTTATTCGTAAAACATTCGTTATTTTTGGCATTTCCGAATCGATATCAAAACAATTTTTCAAACCCGGAAGGGTTTAAAAATATCGAAGCGGCATCCCCCATCCTTTTAACGAGCTTCCGCCCGTTTCGGAAATTGGATGGAGGATGCTGGTGCCTGGGAGCCAATCCGGCGCTCCCAAGCACCCAAGCAGTGCACCGTGGCTGATTTTGATTGGCCGGGAAGGCCTTTAAAAGCGGCTCCGCGTGGCCGCTTTGCTCATTGTTGCGGAGGCGAGGGAGAAGGGAGGTCCGGGAGGGAGGCTTGCATTGGCTTGCATTGGCTTGCATTGGCTTGGTTGGCTGGCTCTAAGCTGGATTTCCTTGCATTCTGTTCGTGTTTGCTCTCGATTGGCCTGTCTTTTGGCTGTGTTAGCTGTTCATCAGGGCCATTTTTGGGTTGATTTTCCATTTTTGAATATTTTTAAAAAATACCTGTCTTTTATTCTTTAAAAAAATACAAAAAATATTCTAAAAAAAGAGAAGACTCTTCTGTTGGTGTTTGCTCTCGACTGCCCTGTCTTTTGGCTGTGTTAGCTGTTCATCAGAGCCATTTTTGGGTTGATTTTCCATTTTTGAATATTTTTAAAAAATACCTGTCTTTTATTCTTAAAAAAAATACAAAAAATATTCTAAAAAAGAAAAGACTCTTCTGTTGGTGTGTGCTCTCATTTGCCCTGTCTTGCTGTGTTAGCTGTTCATCAGGGCCATTTTTGGGTTGATTTTCCATTTTTGAATATTTTTAAAAAATAATACCTGTCTTTTATTCTTTAAAAAAATACAAAAAATATTCTAAAAAAAGAAAATACTCTTCTGTTGGTGTGTGCTCTCACTTGCCCTGTCTCGTGGCTGTGTTTGGTCCACATCAGGGCCAGTTTTTGGTTAAGTTTCCATTTTTGAATATTTTCTAAAAATACCTGCCTTTTATTGTTAAAAAAAACCCAAAAATATTCCAAAAAAAGAAAATACTCTTCTGTTGGTGTGTGCTCTCACTTGCCCTGTCTCGTGGCTGTGTTTGGTCCACATCAGGGCCAGTTTTTGGTTAAGTTTCCATTTCTGAATTTTTTCTAAAAATACCTGCCTTTTATTCTTAAAAAATACAAAAAATATTCTAAAAAAGAAAAGACTCTTCTGTTGGTGTGTGCTCTCATTTGCCCTGTCTCGTGGCTGTGTTTGGTCCACATCAGGGCCAGTTTTTGGTTAAGTTTCCATTTTTGAATATTTTCTAAAAATACCTGCCTTTTATTCTTAAAAAAAATACAAAAAATATTCCAAAAAAAGAAAAGACTCTTCTGTTGGTGTGTGCTCTCATTTGCCCTGTCTCGTGGCTGTGTTAGCTCTACATCAGGGCCAGTTTTTGGTTAAGTTTCCATTTCTGAATATTTTCTAAAAATACCTGCCTTTTATTCTAAAAAAAATACAAAAAATATTCTAAAAAAGAAAAGACTCTTCTGTTGGTGTGTGCTCTCGTTTGCCCTGTCTCGTGGCTGTGTTTGCTCTACATCAGGGCCAGTTTTTGGTTAATTTTCCATTTCTGAATATTTTCTAAAAATACCTGCCTTTTATTCTTAAAAAATACAAAAAATATTCTAAAAAAGAAAAGATTCTTCTGTTGGTGTGTGCTCTCGTTTGTCCTGTCTCGTGGCTGTGTTTGGTCCACATCAGGGCCAGTTTTGGGTTAATTTTCCATTTTTGAATATTTTCTAAAAATACCTGTCTTTTATTCTTAAAAAAATACAAAATATTCGCTTTAACGAATCGATTCGTTATTATCTCAATATCGAATCGAATCGTATTTAATAACGACGTTTCGGAAGCCGCTTTGCGCATGCGCGATCGCGTCCGCCATTTTAACGAATCGATTCGTTATATCCTTAACGAATCTACCCCGCGCCAATAACGAAGCTTCGGAAATGTTTTTGCGCATGCGCGGGGGTCCGCCATCTTTACAAAATGTTTTGTAAATATTTACGAAATTTCGTAAATAACAAAACTTTTTTTTGGAAAGTTTTGTAATTATTTTAAATATCGAAACAAAAAAACACCCCAATTACAAATCGATTTTAGAAACAATTTTTTTCTTGATCAAACAGGCCTAAAAGATACCATTGCTATTAACTACTGTCAGAGCACTTATGTGTATGCAAGGGAGCACACATGTGACAGATGCATTGGAGAAGTGTCACAGGACTGCTATTCTGCAACCATCTGAACGATGAAATACTGCATCTGGAGATGCTAAATAACAACTAGGAAGATGAAGGAAGCATTGCTGTTATTTTTAATTTTCAAAAAATAAGGGATACAAACGTGAAGCAGGAGACATGAAACTCTACCTTAATTTTTTTTAATTAAATGGAGACACAGCTTCTACTGAGGGCCTTCAGACCATATTTTCAGATGTTCTGAATGCACTTATGTTTCATTTTTATGTTATTATGTACATATTGATTGATCTATTTATTGATTGAATTTTTATAACCTACTGCATATCAAAAACCACAGTGAAGCTAATCAATACCATAACATGTTATGGGCTATTAACTCTGCTATAAAGCATCTTCCTGTGAAAGGGTGGAATTTCTTGTTGTTTTGTGTCTTCAATTTGACTCTGAGTTATGATAATCTTCTCACAGGATTTTCTTGGCAAGATTCATTCAGAGGAAGTTTGTCACTGCCTTCCTCTAAGGCTGGGAGAGTATCAGTTGCCAAGACTACATTGTGGGATTCCACAGTTGAGTGGAGATTTGAATCCCGGTGCCTTGAAATCCTAGTCTAACAGTGAAATCACTACGCTGACTCTGGAACTGATGGACATAAAGTTTCAAAGAACAAAGTGGTACACAAGCAGGGCTAAAGGGGCATCCTAAAATACAAGCTCTACAACTCATTTTTTTAAAAAATTCTGTAACTGTCACTATAAAAACATGTTGCTAGACTTTTCAAACTAGTTAAACTCTTAGAGAACCCAATGCATTGAATTCATCCTAGCCATAATGGCTATTACCAAACCAGCACCTCTTTTTATTTTTCAATTACTTCCGAATCAACAAAAAGAAAAGAGTAAGTTTTAAAAAGCAACAGCCCTGCAATTTGTAACAGAAACTTCTTCTCATAAGAAAACGCAAGCCCTGCTAAATGATGCCAAAGAGCTATGCAATGTAAATACTCAATATACTAGATTGACTTATACATGGGTCCATAGCTTTGAGAGGTATTGAACTGCATTACTTAAAGGGCCGATCTTTAGCACAGCGGATTAAACTGCCAGCTGCAGAAAATCTTGCTGATTGAAAGTTCGACAGTTCCAAGCCCAGTTTAGGGTGAGCTCCCAATTGTCACCCCAGCTTCTGCTCACCTAGTAGACTGGTACTTCTGTTACTGGAAGTGATTCCTGAACAGAGTAAGTAGTCACCACACATAAACTCCTGTGAAAGAAGCACTGATCCCTCACATTCTTTGTGGCCCAGAAGAGGTTGTCCAAGATACCTGCCATGGCATGCTTCTGATATGTGTCCTTGATTTATCCATGGATCATATGAAAATCCCTTAACCTGTCATCAATTTATACATGAGATTGACTTATGCACAAGTTCATAGTGGCCAAAGAGTCACCAATAGAAACCTCACAAACACGTTATGAGGGCAAAACCCCTTCATCTGCTATTCTTGCCTAGAACTTGCCTTTTAAAAACATGCTTCTCTAATCCTGGATGATACTTATCATGGCCTTAGCATAAAAAGTATCTGTGGGGCCAAACTTTAACAAATATTGTATAAGTATTTGTGTCTAGAATGTACTATGTAGTATAGCAGATGGGCAAAAAACATGAAAAGGAACAATTATTGAGGTATTTTCAAGGTGTTACAGTAGATGAAGTAAAATGTCTTCATTTATATAACTATAATTTGAAAGAAAGTCTAGTGGGTGTGCCTTCAAAGGAAATACAAATTCAGATATTTGATATGGTAAAGTAAATCAACCTCAGATGTTAGCATGCTACACTGCAAAAATGTTCCATTAGGATATTCAAATGGCAGGTGTGCACTCATTCACCCTAAGAAATTTGATGGCTCGGAAACAAAGCACTATGATATCTTGATGTATTTTATACATCATACACTGGCAATGTGATTCATGTGGTTAAATTACATGGAACTTAAACTAGAAAGAATAAACATATACACAGATTGCATATATACATAATTACAACTGAGCAGATATGTTCCATATTTGCAAGCTGGTACCAAAATCAGATACTCATTCCTGACATTAATTAGAAAACAAAATACTTCAATCCTTCCTTGTTAAAACATTTTCTGATATGTGTAAAATGCAACAGTAAATACCTTTGTTACTGTGGCTCAGAAGCACCATATCTGTCTTGAACTTTCGCAAAACCACGTGTAAAGTTGGATATTCAATGACAACTTTCCCTTTCAAATTCTCTAGAAGACCTTTGTTAGCATCCAGTTCTTCATACCTTTGAAAAAGCAATTGTAAACATTTAAAAGAATGCAAGCATATTAAATATATCCCTTAATGTTATTGGAATCTTTGCCTCCATAAATTCAAAACATCAAAAGGCAATGGAATTTCTGTGATCCTTAACTCTATCTGAACTCTGTTTTACTTACTTAGTATTTCAAACCTGGCCTTTATTATGAACTCATGTTTCTGTTTCTAAATTTGAACTTTGCAATTCAAAGATATCCCATTTCATATAGTGGGCACCAGGCACAAACTCGATAAATCAGTCAGCCCAAAACACCTTCCCACATATTAGTAACTCAGCGTGTAAACACAGAAGCATATTCTAAGCCATCACTCGGGAACCTTCAAAGTTCATGCAAACATTTGAATCTCTTAAATCAGGGGTTAGAAATGTGTAGCCTTCCAGATATTGTGGGACTGCAACTCCCATCAGTCCTAGTCAGCACTGTTCATGGTAAGGAATAGTGAGAGGCTGCAGTCTAGCAACATCTGGAGGAGCGCACTTTTACTACCCAGTCACCCAAATGCAAAAAGGTTGTCAGCTTCTTCAAAATTAAGAAATACCATTTAAAAATTCAAAATCACTTAATCATACTACAGAATGTATGCAAATTGTTGTAATATGCTTATATTGTGTCTCTTTTTATCTAACTCACACTAGTGCCAACTCATGCAATGGCATCTCAAATAATCAGTTACATCAGTATATCTATATGCTGTTAACACTCAGCTTTAACTCTACTTGTAAGAAGAGGCTTAGGCTGTGCAGGTGCAAGTCCAGTAGCTGGATGTTGTAAAAAGCTGGATGGGGGGAGAAAGCTGAATCCTGATAACACAGAGGCACTGTGGACTGGCAGTACTTGCGTCTAGGACAGTGATGGGCAACCTTTTGAGCTTGGTGTGTCAAAATTTGCCAAAAAAACACAGCATAACTCAGATGGAGTGTCACTTCGAGAAAAAAATAAAACCATAATAGCTTCCATTATTTCCAATGGTGGGAAACGGAACCCATAGACTCCCCCTCACTTATCTCAATAAGGATGGTCAATTAGAAATCCAAGACACCCCAGAACAGTAGATTGGATGATATAATAATAATAATAATAATAATAATAATAATAATAATAATAATAATTTTATTTTTGTACCCCGCCAACCATCTCCCCAAGGGGACTCGGGGCGGCTTACAAGGGACAAGCCCAAAAATTACAATACATTCTGAAGGGAATGCAAGAGAAGTGCAACAATCAAGTAGGCAGGGCTGGAAATGTTGTCATCAAAAGTATTGAGGTACATAATAAGAGGGCCAATGTAAAGTGCTGAACTTAAAGTAGGGACAGGAAAATTACTGGTGGACTACTTGATCAAAAGCACACTGGAACATCCAGGTTTTTAGTTGTCTCCGGAAAGAGGACAAAGTGGGAGCCTGTCTGATCTCCCTAGGGAAGGAGTTCCAGAGCCAGGGTGCCACCACCGAGAAGGCCCTCTACCTCGTCCCCATCAACCATGCTTGAGACGGCATGTTGAGGGGGAGAGAGCAGTGCCTCCCCGGATGATCTCAAGGTACGCACAGATTCATAGGGGAAGATGTGATCGTGGAGATAGCAGGTCCCGATGGTTGCTGTGGTTATGTGGTTGCTGTTAATGGCGATCACAGGGCCCACAGAGATGCATCCCCTGTAACATTCCGCAACTTCCTGCTCCGCTGGCCAGAAGTGAGGTCAAAGATCCCCTAACGGCCTAACTAGAAGTCCCGGAACTAGATGCTCTGTGCCGGAGTTCTGTTGTTTGACCTACAGACCTCCGGCAGAGTGTCTATACTACACTACAGCAAATGTTTCATCCTTGGCTCCTGCACCTGGCCATGTAGGAGTCGAGGATGAAATGTCTTTGGCATGTGGCCCTATACTTCTCTGTATGCGGCCACATGTGGCCGCGTGTCATCAAAAATGGTGAAGTGTGTCAGTGCTGACACACGTGTCATAGGTTCACCATCAAGGGTCTAGGACTTACATGACATATATACTTRGTGTACGTTGAACTCATGTATAAGTTGAAAGCAGATTTTAGAGCCAAAATGATGGATTTTTATATGACCCATGGGTAAATTGGGGGTTATTCTACAAAGAGGGGAAAGAGCTATCTCAGGAGGTTAGATACTCCTGGCTGCCACTATCATTTTCCCACATAGGTATACAAACAATCCAGAAGTGGTGCCATAGTGGAGAAAACAGAAGTGTTAGTGCATTTCAATGGACTTATATTTATAGTCCATTGAAAAGTGTTACATTTCAATGGACTTTTAGCCTTTCAAAAACACAGAGGAAAAGTGTTGTTACCATACATCACGGGGACCACTGACCGCATAGGGAAGCTGATGAAGAAGCACAACCCGCCAATGATCTACTGACCCACTAAGAAAATCCAACAATTGCTACATTCAGCAAAGGACAAGAGGGATCCTCTCACCTCTGCAGGAGTCTACTCTAAACCAAGCAGCTGTGGGCAAATCTACATAGGGACAACCAAACGCAGAATTGCCCAAACACAAATCAAGGAACATGAAAGGCACTGCAGACTAATTCAACCAGAGAAGTCAGCCATAGCAGAGCACTTGATAAACCAACCTGGACACAGCATATTATTTGAAAATACAGAAATGCTTGACCACTCTAACAACTACCATGTCAGACTACACAGAGAAGCCACTGAAAGCTACAAGCATGTGGACAATTTTAACAGACAGGAGGAAACCATGAAAATGAATAAAATCTGGCTACCAATGTTAAAAAAACTTCAAAATCAGGACAGTAAATAAAGAACAACACTCAGAAAACTGGGGAATTCCAGACATGAAACAATCAGGGCCAGTGAACACCTCCCAACAAAGGATTCCCCCAGGCAGGAATCAGTCAGGCTTTGAAGCTGCAAGGTCATTTAATGCTAATCAAGGTGGCCAAATGCAACATTCACATTTGCTTCAAGTAGACAAGAGTTCTTTCTCCCACCCTGGACATTTCACGGATATATAAACCTCCCTTGCCAAGTTTCAACAGACTTCACAATCTCTGAAGATGCCTATCACAGATTTGGGTGAAAGTCCAGGAGAGAATGCTTCTGGAACATGGCCAGATAGTCTGGAAAACTAACAGCAACCCAATTATTCATATTGTTTCAGATTATTTTAAATTGTTCTAATTGATTTTACTTTCATGGTAACTTCCCTGAATTTTAACCAATTTCCAATTTGGGGGGGGGGGGATGGACGGACGGACGGACAATTTTCTTTTCCTAGACTTTACAGAAAATAGGAGCCCAGTTTCGGGTTGCATAGGCTCTCTACGAGGCAGACTGTGACCAGAAGGCATTTGCCATGTTGGTCGGAAAGATCAGAGAATGCTCCCAAAGGCTAACTACTTCTGAGGACCCAGCCCAATGAACTACCAAAGGAGGGTGTTCCTCCATATGTACCAAAATGTGAAAGTTTCCATCTTAGCATGATGAAATTCACCAGAAAAGCACCATTACATAATGAAATGACCCTCAAGCTTTAACTGTTGGGTAGAGTTAATAACCTGTTAGCTTGTAAACATCGTTTTTAGAAAATGCTGTGTACTTTAATCTAGGGCTCCTCACCTCAGCAGCTGCAAGTTGAATTCCCAAACGGAAACCTAATTTATTTGTGTGTTTTGGCTTATCCATGTGACTTGGATCAACTAGGCAATGCCTTATAAGGGAGACATTCTCCCTGGGAGGGTGCATTCAAAGCCAAGAGCAGGCATGACTGTAGTTTTTTTTCTAACTAGCTGCAGTAATCATAACCATCCCTATCCCTTATAATTATGATGTAAGGCCATTATAGCTCTTTCAGATGCATCTCAGCAACATAACCTCAGACTCTAAAGCTGTTAACAAGCAAGACCTTCTCAGCAATAATTAGCAACAAGCACAAAGAACTATAATTAATAAATTATTATTAAGTTACTAAATCCAGGGAATTAAAAGTTAGATATATATTGTGTGTTTGATTCAAATATTTTCTGTCCTACCTAGTCTTTACTTCTACAAACTGTATCTGCTATAACTATCTGACCAATAATCACAATGCAAAGCACAATAACATTGCTAGTAAACTCTTTTTAATAACCCTGCATCAGGATTTAGATTTCTAAAATTCAAGATGTTAAAATATGCAACTTGCTTTTTCTGGCTTTGAAAGAAACCACTTTAAGCAATGGCTACTTTGCTCAATTCCAGCTTCAATCATCATGAAAATATTTGGTTTCAAGTTTCTTTCAACCCAAGTAATTATGACCATTTCTTACTGAAACATTTTTTTAACAGAGGATAACATTATATAACTCTTCTAATTCAAGAGTGCATTCATAGCTTATGCATTAGCATGTGGCTCTAAACATTTTTACTGATTTATTTACAGTCCTTTAATGCAAAGTATGGCAGTACCTTTCTATTGGCAAGAGGCTCAACACATTCTTTTCTGGTTAAGCAAACATTTTACCACCAAAAGGCTAAAGTCATTCACATGCCACAATACACTTTCCATTATCTCATGTTTTAGACAAAACATCTTTAGCGTCCAGCTTGGCATAGCATAAAACATTTGTACTTTAAACTATTTTATGATAGTAAATTATTCAAGTGTTAGATCACTAAGGCATAGCTTTAAGTAAACTTTATTGGTTGACAGACAGTGACAGCTTTGGGCAAATATCCAAGACATTGATGCAATGGGAAGAGCAAAGGAATAGTAAAAATACAGAAGGGCTTTTTCCTATAGTAATCGGCCTAAATATTTGGAACTTGTTACTCTGGTTTGTTTTTAAAACTTTGGTCATCCCTCTCCACTTCAACACCACCACCACCACCACCACCACCTTATTCTATTCTGCTCTCTCAAATACAAACTCCTTCCAGGCTTTCCTAAGTTGAAGTGTGCCTTCTATTTACTGTAATCGATCAGCTCATCTC